AATTTCTGTCTGAAATCCAAAGTTTCACTCTTTCTAAGAAAGAATCGCATGAATTCGAAACAAGTGTGGCACTTTCTAAACTGTTTGGACAATGAATATATTAGAACTCAACGCAAAGAATATATTTTCGATAGTATGGTGAAACTTCATGCTCGAATTCTGTTTAATAGAGCTGTGTAAGAATCATTATTGAATGAAGTTACCCGATTCGTGCCTACCTGAGTTTATTGAAAAATATCACGAAGCTTAATCAAACAATCACACACTTCTATTAGTCTGTTTGTTTTCCTTCACTTTCGCTTACATGTTACCATTTACTAATGGAATGAAAGACGTAGAATGGCAAACAAAATCATTTTAAAGTAAGAATCGGCTGCGGCTGAAAGCCATTGTTTTTTCTTTTTTGACATTAATTAAAATGCAGTGCCTATTCATCTCTTTACACTTAACAGGGAACACGACTACAATCTCAGTCAGATGAGGATAGCTGTAGATGTAGGTCTGTAGAAGAACCACACCCACAAACACAACTACATAACACCAACATTGGTTGTTGTATCCACGATCATCCGAAGCAGTTACAATAATAAATAGAGCTTGTAAGTGGAAGTATACTTAAACCAATTAAAAAATTCATCGACTTACCTGTGTATCGCATAAAATAATCTGCTGCTTCCAAACTCTTGCTTTCCACTAAATGATCAAGTCGAAAATTCAGTAGAATAATATATCAATGTGCTTTGATGAAAATTAATAAAAAAAATTCAGAGTCAATTTCTCCAACGCGTTTTGTTTGATTTATTAAGATATTAAAACACTTATCAAAGCTTTGCATTAAAAATTATAAGCATGAACAAAAACAAAAAAACAAATTTTCAATAAAAACAAAAGAAAAAAAAATTGAAAGTGGGAGCGAGGGCGAAAGCGAAGCAGACTACAAAAAGGAGAAAAGAGCTATAAATCTTAAAAGGAGAACGAAGTGTAAGTTCATTATTAGTTGAATTGAATTATACATAAGGACCCTTACATCAGACTACAAAAAATATTTTAATATCAAAATCATAATAATCCCACACGAATTCGAATATTGCTTGAATTGCATCAAGTTATGTTGTTCCATCGCATTTTTTAAATATGTACGAAAAATGAACATATGTGATTCACTTCATAAATATAAATTCATTGTATCCGATTATAATTTCAGTTGAAGTCACTTCATTGTACACTAAGAAGAATAAAAAGGTAATTATAGTTTAAAAAATTAAAAATAAAATCATGAAAAGTAAAACATCATTTTTGAGGTAGATATGAGATCAATCATACGCAAGATTAGACGGTAATGTTAAATCAGGTCGTATCTTAATAAATTCAACGTAGGATATCTTAGGTCAGGATTCGAGTATTTCTTGAAAGGATTTGCTCAGGCAGGGGACCAAAAAACGAAAGCGATGGACCAAGATAGAACTCGACGGACTCTATCTAACGCACACCGAATTTTTACGAATCGACCCTTTTCTCCCACAGAAAACCTGAAAATACTGCTAAAAAACATGCAAAATATCGCCTTATTTCAGAAAAATCTGTCGCAATTCGCCCAGTCAGCGGACCAAAACACGAGATTGATGGGTCAAGATAGAACTCGATGAGCTCTATCCAATGGACACCTTTGGAGTTTGATTAGATGCTCCGGTCCCCGACTAAATGGTCATAATACCCGGAAATCCGAGGTTTTATGCAGAAACCTGTCGCGATTCGCACACAAACGGTACCAAATCATCAAGTCGACGGATCAAGATAGATCTCAATGTGCTCTATCCAATGGACACCTTATTTATCAGATTGCATGCTCCCTTCCGATTGAAACAGGCCGATAGATACCCCAGTGAAAAGGTTTTTTGTAAAGTGGGGCTGGATTCGGGTGTGTGTGTTGAACAGGGAAAGACTAACACGCACACCCACACCCAAACACCCCCACCCCCACCTCCACCCCCACCCCACACCAACACCCACACCCTATTTGTAAAAGATATGTAAAATTTTGTAAAAATCAATAAGCAAAAATATTGATAATAAGAAGAACAAGAGAAATTCTTGTTGTCCTAACTTCGATATTTAATACAAATTTTTTCTCTTGAAAAATTGTAAAAATAGATTATGAAATACCAAGTAGTTAAGAACCATAGACTGTATAATTATTCAAAACAATGAAACGAATTATCTTGATATCATTGGATCTATTATAACAAACAATTCTATCGAAAAAGATATATAAATTCATACTTTGTCAGATTGTATAAAATCTGATCTACTAAGTCAAAGTAGAATATGATCAAATACTGTTGCATCAATATTTATTCACGAAAAATAATGAGAAGGCTATGAAAAACATATTAAAAATAAAAAAAGAATAAATATAAGGATCGGTTATATATATAGACAAATGCAAAAAATTATCATCGGTCATTCAATATGTATCAACAATTCAATATATAGGATACCCTATATTTATTACTATCATTTTTACAAATAAATCGTTCTGTTTACATTATATCTTACTTGCCAAATATGTACAAATAAGATCTTGTAAAGAAAATATTGGTAGAATTGCTGTAAATTCCATTAGATTTTCATCAGTTATTTGGGCTTTTAATTTGTCAAAAACATCCTAAATATAGGAAATATTAAATCATATAACTTCTATCTTTTCTTGTTACGAACCATTTAATATTGACTTACTGTTAGGTTCATTTGAAACAAATTCATGAGCAAAATAAGTGAAAATTAAGAAAATTAGAGCAACAAAAATCGAATTTATTATACTACTAATAAAAAATATCAAAAAGTTCTTTCTTCTTATATGAAAATATCTGTGTGACTTTAACGCTTGACGATCAGATGATCGAAATTGATTCATATAGGTATAGTCTTTACTAAAATACTTCATAGTGTATTAAGAAACAACTAATAAAAAAAGGTAATAGAAGGTTGCCACTAGGATCGAAAGAGAACTCTAAGATATTGTCATTTTAAATTCTTCTTGTTAATATTGATGCAATCTACTGAAACTTTTTTATTTTGAGAGATCGAATGATAGTTATTTCATTGACGTTGATGTTGACTATGTCCTTTTACTATATTTGGACTCATTTTTCAAGCAGCTTCTATTGACACTTCGAATTCTCTCATTAGTTGAAATTTTGTTGAATATAGCGTTTGCAAGTAGATTATAGTCCGAATTTTCGAATAGAAATATTGTGCTATTGATATCTACATAAACTCTTACTTAGTACATAATCATTCGACTGCATTTGTATTTATAATACGTATTCTGATCACATGTTTTGTCAATTGTACAATTGTATCCATCCAATATCAAAAGTATTTTGTTCTCGACATTGTAACAATATTGATCGTAGACATGCTTGTAAGAAAATCAATGATGAGTTTTTGCATGGTGGCATTCTGTATATGCTTATATATGGGACTGATCAATCTTACTCGACACTGTAATTCTTTATTTTTAAAATGCAGCTTCTACAATATATATCAGCATTACATGATTCATGTACTACTTAGCTGTAGTAATCGTGCAATTAGTACTGATCTTAGTAATTATTTGGAATATATATCTTTTCCGAAACTAAAATATTAAAAAATCTTTGTCAAATATTTTGCTAAGACATGTTTTTATCAAATTTATTCATTCATTTTAATTCGTTCTTGCTATTTGAAAGATATTATGGAAACGCTTAATTATTTTGATTTCAAATAAACTACATAATTCAAACCATAAAAAATCGTCAACATTACATAAGTATTATAACAGGTAAAAAAATATCATATAATTCCCACGTATTATAAAAGCTACATGTAGAAAAAACAAGAATTTGGACATCCGATCAGGATGATCAGCTCCATATGTATATTCATATTATATGTACATTAACACTGACATTTCACTCTACTTCCTTTTTCTCCTTTTCCCTACAACTCTTTTTTAGACCTCGTTTTCTAAACAGAATACATGTTAATGCGCATTATTTTTTCTAAAAATAAACAAAAGAAAGACACCAAAGAAGGAAATTTGAAATGCCTAGAGAAAAAGAGGCAAAGTGGGATGCCAGTTAACATAATACTGATAAGATTATTGCTTTTCAATTTGATTCTTGCTTCTTAACCATATCTAAATGCTACTCTTCATCATTCCTCACGTTTGTTTGTTTTATAAACTTCTTACAACCGCGACGATAGAATGATCTATTTTGAGTATATGGCGCAGATTAATTAAAACTTCTCAAGATTATTTTCTTTCAAATGAAACTATTTTTTTTTTATCATAATAAATATCAGATGTACTTTCAAATTTGAATATAGACAATATCTTTGATATTGTCAGTTGAAAGAAGAAATATTTCTTCAATTTTAATGTCAGAGAATAGCTTATAGAATTTCCAACTCGAGAATTGTTTTTCTTTCGTTTTTGCAAGAAAAAATAATATTAAATTAATATTTGGCTTCTTTAATAGACAGTCTTAATCTTTGCAAGAAATTATGAGACTTTGAATTGTAGAAGAACCAATTTTTCGTTTCAAACGTATATCTTGATTTTATATATTTTAACATATGATAAAATATCTGCTTTTCAAGATTTTTATACGTGACGACAATTATTCAGTAATCATAAAATATTTCTCTAACGATTGAAAGATGACAATAAAATTGTTTTCATCATCATGCAATTAACTAAGAAAACCAATTCTCATTTTTTCATAAATGATTCTGCCATTTGAAATCTTATATACATATAGCTGATTTGATTTTACTTTGTTCAACTACGTTTTTATTTTAGAATATTTAGATACACAAACAAAGATAAATATACGAAAAAGAAATGATATGATCATACACAAAACAAAATGACAATACGATAAATTCTGTTTAACATCTATTTTAGTTTTGTCTGTAGAAGATTGTTGTAATTATTTAAAGAATTACTCGAATTATGTGATATTGCTCACAGTCGCATTTGATACAAAACGATGTAATATTTTCTTTTGAATTAGTTGCTTGAATTCATATCTGAATAATGATGATGATAAAGTATATACAAAAAATGTTAAAGAAAATTCCAGATAAATAAACATATAAGTCATATTATTAACAAATGTTTCAACTGTTAGCCGAAAAGATGATTTTGTATCATTTATTGTTATTGTTTGATAAAGAAGGACACAAGGATTAATAGTATTTAAAAAAGTCCAAAGCAATATTTGATTAAATAACATTTTAGAATATTGTAAATCTTTTCCTGACATTCCAGTAAATATTGCAGGTCGAACAGCATCAACTACTGCCAATGGTCTTATTCTTCGTTTGCTTTGTCGAATATTTTTAATGGTGAGATATCCAAAAATAAGCATTATCAATGGTGGTAATATTCCACTTTCTATCGATAGATAGATGCTGAAGAAAATTCCATAAACATCATATCTATATGAGCAGATATCATCTTGAATTTCATAGAAGACAAGAACCTGAATGTACATTAAACACCAAAATATAAAACTACCAATAATTAATCGCATGGCGATCTTTGATGAACTCCATTGACGCCAATAAATATCAGAACAACTGGCAAAATAACGGTCGACCGATGCCAAAATTATATAATAACGTAGAACAGCAACAAAAACATAGAACAAATAATAGCGGATTTTACAATACCAAAGGATAATATTAATTGTATTGATATTGAAACCATTCTGAAGCATTCTTGTGAGAAGAGCGAAATTGAAAGTTATGAATTGCGAAGTACTAGAGGCTAAAAAGTACATGACACATGGATTCTTGCGAAGTTTTCGTTGACAAAAGATAAAAAAATTGACAGTTGATCCAAAATTTCCTATAAGCCAAATAACACTCATAGCATACCTTGACATATTCTTATTAAGAAGAACAACAACGTTACACCAATATTTCTCATAATCATTAGTACCACAAACAGTGTCGTTTGACATTTGCAATGGCTATGCTTATAAAATTTAAACACAAAGTAAATATTAAGCAAGTTGATCTAAGGGATTATTGAGTTATAATTATTCTGGCATTTTGTTTAAAAAAAAAATTTCTTTATATAGAATTAATTTCATTCAAATGACGTCAATTTACTTCAAAAAAGATAAAGAATGTAATAAAACACTCAAGACGGGAAACACAAATTTCACAGTTGACTTTCGACAACTGATGAAACTGCAATAAAAATACAGCTTTTGGTAATGGCCAATTATCTGGATTAAATAGTAATTCCACTAATGAATTATATTTGCAAAGTCGCATTTTTGGCAATGAATGATTCATTTTTTGTTAGAAAGACTTAGCAATTAGCAAAATATCGGATTCCAGTGCAAAATCCAAAAATTCTAGACTGTGATTTATTTAAATATTATGTTTGATATAATGTCTGTTAAGTCAGTCGTCTGAAAAATATAGATGGTAAGAAAGACAAGCAGTATAAGAGTACTGTGCAGGTTGAACTTTTTGAACCCGTACTCGATCCGACAAAGTTCAACCCAATACCGCATTCGACTGAAGAAATAACATTTGTTTGTTTTCAAAAGATGGATCACTTTAATTCTATGTTTAGCATATAAAAGAATATATAAAATTTATGAAACTAACAGACACGCATGAAAACATGTATGGGGGCGTGTGTGCGGTATGAGAAGAACCACATTCATATCCATACTCACACCTTTTGAACCAAAGTCTGAACAATGATAACAACAACAAAAAATATTAAGATATGAAAAAGAAGTATTTGTTTTTTGATGGACAAAGAAATTTCGCACGCATGTTTTAGTATATTGTCTTGAGCGCCAACTAATAGACTTATACGTTACTGTTCTTTGTATCTAACATAAAAAATAACAGAAGGAGGAAATATATTTTATGAACAAATAGAGCCCTACAAATTTAAAATCAAATACGAGCCTGATCTGACCCAATAACGTTCAACCGAACCTGCCTGAGAGACGAGTTGCAGGACTCTACTGCGTGAAAAAATTTTTGTCCTTAGACTTTTAGCAATGTCAAATAATATATTAGGGATAAGTCCAATAATTGACGAATACCTTGCCGATAGTCCAATGATGACCTATTTAATTAAAACATGATGCCTAAAATTTGTTATAACGCTTCCAGCAATTGCCAAAAGCCATGCCATACATTTGAGTTTCATCCTTGACAAACGTGCTCTGTGTAGTTTTGTGTACGATGGCATTTAAATGTTGTATGGCATGACGTTTGTCAATTTCTGAAAATCAATTGTGGAAGTCAGTACTGCAAAATTCATTTTATCCTTCATGACGCAAATATATTCATCAAATTTTGCAAACTTTGTCAAAGTAATATATTTATCAAGCAAAACATAGTACTGTTGACGAGAAAATGATTCTTCTGTTTACGTTTAATAGCTTTACTAGACAACAGAATTTTTTTACCAGATTTGAACTTTTATCACCAAAATATGTGAATAAAAATTCAATTGTCTAATGAAAGTATTTATTAATTTTCATTTGATTAGACATAGGACACAATCTATGAAATGAATTCATCTTAATTGAATGAATAGATGAGAAAACAAGAAAGAATCATCATCATGTATTCAATACAATCCGTCAATCTGTGTCTCGAACTTTGTTCATAGTTTTAAGGGACAGTTAATAAAAAAGAAATACTGATGATTCTTATGCAGAATTACGAGATTCAAGCGTAAGTAATGATTCTTCTTTGGAATGCATTTCAAATGCGTAATTTCTTATGACTATAGGGTGTCCCGTAAGTCATTAGACAAAGAAAACATTGAATATCTCCGCCCACATTTGGCATAATGGGCTGATATTTTTATCATTCATAGACTAATATTTATAGATCATATCCATAAGAGAAGCGTCAGCAAAAAACTGTTTTGAAGTATTACAACTGTCTTCAACCGAGAACTATAACCTTTCATAGATTATAAAAAACAAAATTGCAATTTTCTCAACAAATTCATTATGTTTATGCCTGAAAATCTCAGCGCACCAAGATTAGCAAGGCATGTATTTGTGGTATAAATATGAGGTCAAACGACACTAGTGTGGACAAGTAATTGGAAGAATTAGGTGTTCCATTTATTTTTGGATGAACAATAAATATATTGTTTTTCATAATCCATGAAAAATTATAGTTCTTTGTTGGAGATAGTTGTAATATTTCAAAACAGTTTTTGCTAACGCTTCTCTTATAGATATGAGCTATAAATATCAATCTATGAATGATAGAAATATCAGCCCATTATATCAAAATATGGGCGAAGATATTCAAGATTTTCTTTGTCTAATGACTTACGGGACATCCTATATAACCAGGATGGTGACTACATTTCTACGATAAGAATGAATATTCTCTAGATTCTGAAACAATATGCGCAGTCATATACGGCTACCTTAAAATACTATCATCACAAGATCTTTTAGAATATAATCATCCACTATCAATCATTGTTTTAAATTGTCTTTGTCTAATGACGCATATCATATAATATTCCTGTACGTAGTTGGATACTGATTTATTGTAAACAAGGAACTGAGTAGGACTATTTCTTATAATTTTCAATGTATTTTAATGATGCGATAAAAAGCTCCATATTGAAGTCGTGAATGGAGTAATTTTATTAATTTTTAAGATAATTACGGATATGTGCATGAACTATCTCTCTCTGGTTTAATTCGCAGAAAGAAAGAAGGAAAATGAGTAAAAATAGTTTTAACTTCAATTAAGTAAATAGTTCGATAATCCTGTATGTCATTCGACTATTATCAAAGACATTTGTGTCAAACAATCAAGAATTAAATAAAAGCCAAAAAATGCATACTAATCATCCATTTCAAGAGATTCACAACGTGTAATTCTTGATCTTTGAGATTAACATCGAAATTATTTATGTCACAAATACAACAAAGAATAATACTATGTATTAAGGTACTTCATTAAAATAAAGAGTGTATCAAAACAAGTGAAAGAAAATATGATCTGTCAATACTTATTCTTATGTAGATAAATAATTGAGAATAAATATTGAAGATAGAAGTAAACAATTACATTCATTACGATTAAAAAGAGGTTATCAACAAAAAGGTAAAATCAATAAATTATGAAATCGACTCCCTCGAAAAATTATGTTTTCCTGTATGAAAAATCGCCATACAAGAGTTTTGCAAGTGATCACTACTAGAATTAGTACTACTGCATTTGTTTACGCTGTGTCTAGATCATTTGAAATAGTTAATCACTATCCTATTTATATCATCTCTGATTATTGATAATAGTTGTTGAGGCTAGTTTTCATATAGTCTGATAGAGATTTTCAAACATTGCAAAATGCTACGAAAATATCGAAGAAAAACACACTGAACATTGAAAATCGTACGAGATATGTTGTTCTGAAACACGATTTTGAGTCTATATCACTGATATTTCTTAGACATCCATTAGAAAAAGTACAATTCGGTTAAAAACCAAAAATTACTCTATAAATCAGTATTTAACATTGTGTAGGTTTATGTGAATTTTAAATCTTTTCATCGAGTTTTCTTGTCGAAAAAGTCATTCCTAGTCTTGCTCAGAGTTAAGTCAAAAAAAAAAAGAAACGCATCGAAAAATCAGTTTCACCGATAGAGACGGTAGTTGTAATATTGAAAAATGACGCTAGAACACAAAATACCGTGTGCCTAGACCATGGAAACACCGGAATGAAGAAGTATGTGTAATGTTAATCAGTACCGATCTGGTACAGCGTAAACAAGTGCTACAGGATTAATTCTATCAGTGGTCACTGTCATCTTTTGCTCCAGATCATTTTGAGTTTCAGTTAAGTCAGTTGAAGTTTAGCGGTTTTTTTTCTACCGTAGATCTATTAGTTACTGTATGACATTTCTTTCTTGATTGTAATCCCGGAAGTGACATTTTGTCTGGCAGTTTCATTCAAAATGGTCTTGAACAAAAATCAGATTGCGTTTCTCAATATTAATTTCTTTATTTCTCTATATACCACTACTCTTCAATTCACATTAAATCTACAGTAAAGACTTACATGAGGACTTCTTAATAGGAGTCTATTTATAGTGAAATATGAATGGTTTTGTTTTTGACTTCTACTAATTAGAAAAGACTTCCTTGGAATGAACTTCTTTTTTGTTCTATTAGTACTCTTACATGCTTTGGTACACAGATAAGAAGGAAACATATCTATACAGTGAACACTTAAATATTTTTATAAATTTTGATATTGGACATTATTTACTAGTATCATCTTAATTGAACCCATTGACTTTTTTTTAGATCTTCTGTTAAGATTAATACTTGATTATATTTTATTATTATTATGATATGAGCGCAAAAAAATTGACAGGCAGGTTGGGTCTGCTAAAAGTATACCTGTTTGGACTTCTGCTCCTTCTATCTCCTCTGGTCAATTTTATCGACTTTCTGTCCCCTCCAGAACATCAATTATCAACTAAGAAGAGTCTTCTTATTTAAATATACT